CATATTCAAATTATGCAGTTTCCTCCTCCATGCTGCCTGGGTGCCAGCAGGGGAGACACTGAGAGCACAGGAGAGGCTCCCTGGTCATGCAGTTCAGGTGCCCAGACCTAGCCCACACTGCTGCAGACAAGAGCTGCAATTGCAGGGAAATCCTGTACAGCCAAGTTTGGAGCATGCGCAGCGTGGGCAGAATTTTTTCAACATGGGCCAAACAATGAATTTCTCTTCAGTTTTGTTCTCAGAAACGGCTGAACTGTTTTGGCTGAAATTTTCCACACACAAAAAATTTACCCCGAGGCAGACATCTGGCACAGAAAAGCTTAGCCCAGTTGGTTAAATGACTGAAAACCAGGGCCTTATAATGGGCAATATTAGGCAACCTTAGCAGTACTATCAGCCTCAGCTATAATATTGGATAATAAGTAAATCCTTCAAGGACACAACATTTTTGTTCCTTTGGAAACAAAATTTCAGTATCAACAAATCGTGGGTTTGTGATAAAGGTACAGAGAGCAGACACCCATCTCCCATAGGGATAACATCCAGGATTTGGCCGGACACCTTAAATATATTCCAAGATATAATATAGTCTTAACTATATATATATATATATATATATTTAGAACAATGTAACCTTAATCAAGATTCAAGGTGATAAGAACCATATATGCGGTGTTATAATAGTAATGTTTCCCTAATAATGAATTATAAATGTTCAAGGCTCCCTCAGGAGTCAGTGCTGGGAGCTCCAAGTCCAGTCCTGAGCGCGTTCCTGAATATATCACTGGTTTAGCTCTAGAGGAACTGCCATTTGCCCTCTGGTGGGGTGCATAGCCTTTTGCTGGTTTTCCCTATGAACATTTAAGGGCAGAACCCTGCACAATCATTTCTTAATGGAATCAGTAAAATAATCTCTTTCCTCTGCTGTTGGTGGGGCAGCATGGGGAGCCTCTGCTCTGTAGGACTTTGGTTTCCACAGGCATCCATTCAGAACTTTTCACTAGCACTGAATACATACACCAATTCACTTTAAAAATGTTAATAAGTGCTAAGGCTAGCCTTTTCAAAGGGGTCTAAAAATCCCAGCCTAAAAGGTCCCAGGTCTGATTATGTGCGAGGGAAAATAAGGAAGCTGATTGCTAAGCTAACACACAGACAAGTCCTGCAACATCACTCTTTCAGAAGGAAGAAATAATACAGAACTTATTAATGCCACAATCCCCACATTAAGCTAGATGAAATACTCCGAAAAGCAAAAAAAGTTACGAAATGCCCATCTGGTAAAGGGACATCGGAACTGGGGACCATCTTACTTTGTCTCAGCTCACACCCTTGTACCCAGCTAGTAACTCTTACGCTGGCAGCATCTACTGGGCAAAAGACTGACTGTGTCATCTTGGTTCAGTGTTTTAGGGGAGACACATTTTTATGATCTTCAGCAGAAAGGTCCTGTGGTTGTATCACAGTAATGGAGGTTTTCTTGTCTAACTTAATATTTCATGGGCATTACCCTCTAATCAACTTTTCTTTACATTTTTGCAAGTGTTTGTCTGTTTCTTACTTTGATGTCAACTGACTTGTCTACACTTTCCTGGCACAGTCCATATAGCTCCTTCTTCAATAATAGTATTTTTCTGACACATTACAGTCCACAGGGAATCTCTCTGGAATCAAGGCAACTTGGACAGGAAACAATAGTTTTGTAAAAGCTCCTCTGACTTATACTCCTTTAGAACCACTCCTCAGCTTATGCTGTTTGCAGCTGGCAACTTCTTGGCCTCAAGGATTCTCTGGATCTTGTAGTATCCGTGTGGGTCACCCTAGGTGTTAACAAATCCCTATGCCAACAGCCACACCACCTCAAACTGATCTGTTATCAGATCCCAAAGTAGGCAGGGTCATACTGGCTCGGTATTTTGATGGGAGCCTTCCAGGATCATAAAGGTGCTGCAGGACGTGCGGATATTGAATGTGTAGGCAGTGTCTCTTCCAGCACAGTCAGTACGTCATTGATGCTTTAGCATTGTGTTTCTGTGGGCTGGGGGGATGGGAGGGCTTGGTGGCTGAGGGTAGGGGCTTTCTCTCAGATGGAATATTAAACAGACCTCCCAGGCATGAGAAAACAATGTTAAAAATCCCATGGTGCTTTATGCAGAAGTGAGAATCCTGCCCCATTTCCATTAACTGAGTAGTGACTAGGATTGTGTGAGCTTTCTGTAAATAAACTCAAAACACACCAGGAGTGGGGTACCATTTTGCGTTCTAAACTCATTAGGATTTGACAAGCCAAGTTTGTGACTGTGCCTGCCATCAGGTGGGTTTTTGCCTGGTGTTGGGGCTTCTTTCTCTGTCGCTTGGCATCTTGCCTTGCCCTTCCACTAATCACTTATTCACAAGAGGCCCTGAGCTCCCTGTTACATCTAATAGTTGTACGGAGGCAGGCCAGTGGCCATCTACCTGGTCCATTCTACCTGACGTCTTCGGGGTGGGGATGGCTGATTAGCTAGCTGTCCCCGCTTCCAGCTCTTCAGGGGGTTGCTGGCAGTCCCATTGTTCCACCTCTTTTCCTTTAGCTGTAAGGATAGGGATAGCAATGGATTGGCCCACTCTTCACTCCACCCTTGACTGGTCCGCATCTTCTGGGGACGCGGCAGACTGCCCAGCTCTTTTTCTGCAGCAGTGGTGTGGAAACAATCAAGCTCCTGCTATAGCACTCTGCTGCTGGCCCCTGAGCTCAGGTGATGAAAGGTGCCGCAGGCTGCACTGGGTTAGAAGGGAATCCCCATCCTTGTACCTGAGCTTTTGGGCAAACCTGGGCTAAGTTCTAAGGCTGGGTTACCCAACCCGTGGGTCAGGACCCAAAATTGGATTACCGGAATGTTTCAAAGGGTCGTGTGGCAGCTCCTGAGGCTCCTGTCCCATGGGGCTGGCTGGACTTGGCTTCACGCTCCAGGCACTAACATTTGGGGTCCCTGTACCACTCAGGTTTGGCCCAGCCATCACGATGACATGAGTCTGGGTAAGCCAAATTTGAGTGAGCAACCCCATGAGCCAGGTCACAACTCCACTCACACAAATCTGGTCCAGCCAGGGTGGCGGGGCCAAACCTTAGGAGCGCTGCAACCCCATCTTGCTTCACAACACCCTTGTGACACAGGTATTACATTTCAGAGCTAAGCAAGCTGAGGCACTGAGCAAGTTAATTGAAGGTCGCCCAGCAAGTCAACAGCAGAGCTAGGAAGAGAATCCAGCTCTTGGACCTCCCGTCTTGTACCTTAGTCACAAGGTCATCCTTTAGTCTGTCAGAGGTCCTCAAACTGTGTGGCGTGTCCCTCATAGGTGGGCACGGCAGGGCCCAGGCCAGCCCTCATGGAGATAGGGTAGGAAGCACCACCCGAGCCCCACCCCACCCCCCCAGCTCTGTTCCATCCCTACTGCCAGCCATGGCCCAGCTCCCTGCCCAGCTCCACACCCAGCCAGGGGTCCAGGTGCTGGCCCCCACCACAGCCCGGTGATGGCTCCACTCCTAGGGTTGCCAACCCTGAAGCTATTTCAAGAGATTTTTTCCGCCCAACATGACAATGTCATTTTCTTAAAATATCCTACTAAAATCTCCCAGATTGTTTTCAGTAGTCACCAAGAGATTGATTCCAATTCCAGGAGACTCCAGGCCAATCCTGGAGGCTTGGCAACCCTATCAGCTTCCTGTCCCCAGCCTCTGGTTGTGGCTCTGTTCCTGGCCCAGGGCCAAGGGTGAGGCTGGGGGAGGGAGTGGAGCCACACCCAGCTTCCGGCCCCCTCCGCAGCCTGGCTACAGCTCCGCTCTTGCCCCTGGCCCCGCTCCTGGCACCAGACCCACCCCCAGCTGTGGCCCCAGCCTCAGCCCCCTTACACCGGTCTGTGTGTCGTCCCCCAGCCTCCTGTGCCATGTTCCTGCTCCTGGCCCTGGGAGGGGTCATGGACAGGGGTATGGGGGGTGCTACCCTCAGAAGTTTGGGGATCACTGGTCTAAATGGAGGGCTGCTCCAATACAGACAGTATATGCACATTAAGAAAAGGAGGACTTGTGGCACCTTAGAGACTAACCAATTTATTTGAGCATAAGCTTTCGTGAGCTACAGCTCAATAAATTGGTTAGTCTCTTAGGTGCCACAAGTACTCCTTTTCTTTTTGCGAATACAGACTAACATGGCTGTTACTCTGAAACCTGTCTATATGCACATTGGAATGCAATGAAAGCAGTCAGGACTTTTAATATACAAAAAGCCCCTTCTCCCTCCTCCTTCACATGGAATAGAGATTGGCCCGGACCAAAGCCCTACATCCAAACAGACCCAAGTCTGCAAGAGAGTGGAAGGGGAGGCTTTGAAAGCTGAAGCAGGATTCCAATTTTGTAATACAGACAACACACGATGCTCTGTGCTTGTTCTCTTTTCGCTGTACCAGCTTGCTCCCTCATACTGTAAGCTCTCAGGGGCAAGGACTTTGTTACTGGTTTAGCACAGGTCACCAACTGTATCACACCATGTCACCCTCCTAGGCCGGAGCCCATAGAAAGGAGAACTCATGATGTCTGTGCACGAACAGCCCAATACAGAGACAGGGTATTCTAAACAAGTCATCATAATTCTACTTCCCTATAAAGAGAGTTGCACTGCGTCTGAGTTTCCTGCAAGCCTGATCCATTGTTTTAGAGGGGGAAAGTAATAAGGACATTGCCCTGCAAGGTGCTGGGCACTTTAGGGAAGGCAGAGGATGACACCAGTGCTCCTGGAGCTCAGCACTTAGCAGGATCAGGCTACAAGTAATCCTGCTCAGTGCAACTTCTACCATTCAATGTATTGCAAATCCAGTCTCCCCTAGCAATCCATTCGGGAACAGATTTTGCATGGATCAGATTTCTAAAAACTCATGTTTAACTGAAGTAGAACATGGCAAGCTAAAGGAAGCAGAGCAACAGACGGGCCAATGAAAGCAGAAGAAACAGAGGCCTTTCCTACCCATAGATATCCAGAACCCCAATGAATGAGTGCTGCTTGACGGTGGTATGCAGGGCTTTGTTGATATGCTCCACAATCCAGTTAAACAGCTGGGCATAGATGTGCTTGGCTAGCGCATTCCTGGCATTCACGACTTGCTGCACAGACATGGGCTTGATGTACGTCTCAGCTGTTGTGACAAGCTTCCGATGGCACAGCCAGTGCTCCATCTGGCTGTGCTCCACGCCAAGCAATCTGCAAAAATTATTCAGGTGTTCATCCTGTTTCTAGGATATAAAGAGAAATACAAATTCAGCAGGAGCTCAGCGAGCTGAGGCCGGGAGACAAGAAAACACCCACATATCTAAGCTACAGGATTGCCTACTATTCGGATGGGAAGGTGGAGGGAGGAAAAAACAAAACAGCTTTAGCACAAGCTTTTACCATTTATAACAAGCTGTGTCACTGAGCTTGGTCATTACTACAGTTATTGTGCAATTTAGGATTTTAACCAACCTCAGACTGGCTTCATGATGTTAATTTCCTATTTAGTCGTTAACTGTGGATAACTAATTTGTAGGGACTATTTATTTGACTGAATAGATTCAGAATGAGATAATCTCTTGAAATAATGTGAACCACTGAAGAGATGAATGCCCTGGTGGTAGATTCCTAGAGAGAAGTTTGATTCAGAATGGAATTTTAATTCTAGATTTCCCAGGATCAGGGTCAAAACATGAAATCAGCACTTGGTTTCTATCTGAGATTCTATCTTGTTTAACTTTGGCTGACAGAGATGACATAAAAATGAGAATGTTTAACTGAAGCTCTCTAGTCTTTGGGAAGATACATTTAATGGAGCCCAGCTCCACACGACGCTGTTGGTTTTGCAAGAACAGAACTACACGCTGTATGGCTTCTCTGTGCACTGAGCATCTTAAGCGACATAACCTTCATAAAAAGGAGTAGAGTATCATCAGTGGTTCAGTTTTGTTCCTTCTACAAAGCTCAAACTATGCAACACCTAACAGGTAACCAGCTCTCGAAGGACACTGTCCTGCGAATTGCTGAGCAACCTCAACTCCCACTAAGTGATTGAGAACCAAAACCAGGATGGCTGGCTCTGTTACTCTAGATGTACTTCCTTGTGTTATGACAAGCCCCTAAATATACCACCACTGCCAGACACTACTTCAACCATTTGGCTTTTGAGCAGGGGGCGGCGAACTCCCTGTCTGGAGATGCTGCTGCTGTTTCCTTCTACATCAAAGTGAAATCTTGGATTCCTTTTACCTTTAACCCATTGAAGTGAATGCAACGACTCCAACATTTACTTCAACGGGCTTTGGATCACACTCTAAATCATTAGCTTGGCACTGCCAACTGTATTATTAAATTACAGCATGCCTTTTGCAAAGCACTCTTGGGATTTCTTGGTATAATTAGGTCCCCAAAGTATGAGAGATTAGGTGGTTGTTGACCTATTTTCCAGCAGTTATTTTTTAAAAAAAGCAGTTAGTTAAGAGTCTTAAGTTCACATTTGTTTTTAGTGGCAAAAACCAACAAAGTCCTGGCCAGTTGCTGGGTTTCATACAATACATGTGAGTGAGCCTGCAGGCACTTTCTTGTAAGAGTGGGAAATTGTTCAGTCTTTTGTTAACATTACATCATACTTCAAAAGAAAGTAAAACAAAAATACCCAGCTAGATAATTGGTGGGGGGGGGAAGAGGGAGAGGGAGAGAATGCCTTTTAAAATCCTCTAGGATGCTTTTTGCTCTGCCACATTTTTCTGATCGCTGATTAAAAGTAATAACCAGGACGGAGTTTATATCATGCAGTCACATTTAAACTTAATTAAACAATGCTAAACCCATTACAGAATTCAGCATTGTGGGAGCAGATTAGTTTATGCACCCAGATTGCCAAATATCTAAAACAAATTGTCCCCCGTGTCCAACTAACGGCACACTGCATCATCTCCAGAGTAACACTCGCAATATGTGCAGAGCACATCCTTATATTTTAATTAAGAATAAACTCAGTATGGGACATCGTGATAATTGGGAGGACAACACTATTCATACACTCGCTATTTTATTTATTTTGTCTGACTAAACACACCAGAACAATGGAGGGAATCACTGTTAAGGCATCTTTGGTTTTTAGTACTCTTTTAATAAATAAATGTTGTCCTTAGCCACCCTGTGTTGCTATCTATGTTGTACTCTTTTGCATACTGGATGGCTACATTTCAATGACAAATATATGGCAGCCTCATTTCTCACAGCGCTGAATTCCAGCAACCAAAACCAGGTAATTTAATTAGTTGCACAATAGGACCACTTCTTTATTCCAGCATTTACACTCGTGCTGACAGGCCTACATTTCCAAAAGTGATGAATTCTGGATCCAGTTGGAAATACCTTAAAGGGTCCTGATTTTAAGGACATATTCAGCCCTTTTAAAAGATATTTCAAGTTGGGCACCCAAAGATAAATATATAAACAACAGCACCCAAAATCACTACCATTTCTGAAAGGCTGTGCTGCAATATGCATCCCAAATCGAACCCAGAAACCAAAAGAACCATAAGAACATGGGAAAATGGTTTAGACCAGAGTTCTGACACATACTGAAAATTATTACAGTATGAAAAGGTATCAAAAGATGCTCCCATTCCATTCTCCTTTAAATCCCCGAAGTATTTGCGAGACACCAGGACTGACCATATTCTGCGTCTGGGAGAAATCCAAAACCAGTCAACTATTTACAGAGGAGGCAGTAGCCCATTGTTTTGGATTCTTATGAACCAGCAGCTACTGATTCAGCACGAGCATTTCCCACAGGGTGCATGTATTCCCAAACACTATTCCGCAGACAGCGCTGTTGAGTCTAATACACTGGTTGCCTTTAAAGACCTGTCAATTTCACCTTGCGTAGGGGGTAAGTATCACAGTATTTGTTTCTCTGAAGTGTTACCTCAGTATTTGCAATACTCTCTCTGTTTCCCTGATATTTACTCTAGGGAATGCTGCAAACACTGAGGTAACATTAGATTTGTTGCTAGGGCAATTGGTCAGTTTTTAAGGGTGACAACCATTATACTTTAAAAACCCAGGAAGTAAGCTAACACATTCACATTGCTTTACAAGTATGACAGAAAAACAAGTGAGACTGCATGATTTCCTGGAAAGAGACAAACACATCAGAGAAATAAGATTTATTGACAAGTTGCCTACAAAAGCAATAAAACAAGAGAAAATAAATAAGTAGAAATTAAGGTATTAACTAAACACACTTGATGGCATCCTTTGTAGCAAGAGACAGGCAACTTGGCTGGAGTTATTAATACACTAAATTGCACAACAGTATCTTCTGTGCCTGCTAAAAACTTACCGATATACTACAAGAGTCTCCATCTCGATCTGCTTGAATTTCCAAGTTTCCTAGGTGCAGGATGGAAGCTATTATCTTAAAAATGCTCATCTGATGGGACTCTTTCACTCCTGAAAGAAACAATTGACATCCAATTTTCACAACATAAAAAGTGTTTTACTCTCTTAAAATATTTATACGGTTTGATCTTCTTTCCGGACGGATGATTTCAAAAACAATCAGAATGCCCTCAATAAACAATCATCATTCAAGGTGACAGCTGAGATTGCAAGAGAAACTTCTCATATGAACTGTTAAATATTCACACCCTAAACAGACATATCAAGGCGATTTTATTACAGATGGATCGGATACTATTTTAAAACTTACATGAAAGCTAAGAAACTACTCTATGATGATCATTTAAACTCATTTGGGATTTCAATTCAACCAACTGCATAGGGGCTTGCTTTGTGTTTTATAACACAAAAGGGAAAAACTGCTTACCTGTAATAACTAAGATCATACAAACAATTGTGGTGCACAAATTGCAGGCTAATACCAGTGAAACCAGGTTAAGCTATGCTACTGCTGTAAGCCAGTATTAAAAATGGTTACTGAGTACTAATAGTGCCAAGGAAGAGCATTTACTCAAATAGTCCCCATTGGAGTCACTGGGATCACTTATATGAGTGAGAGCTCACCAACGTGAGAGAGTTGTATAATACAGCCCTTAACATGCGAGCTATGTGGCTGACTGCACAGTTTGCAGGGCCCATTCCCATTTGCACGTGCAGTTTAAAGTTTTTGGATGTGCAAAAAAAATGCACATCCAAAACTGCATGCCAAAAAAACTTGCAAGTGTGTGACTGGTGTACTTGTTAAGGGCTTTCCATTGCTGGTGCAAGACTTTCCCTCCTCAAGTGTTTTCTGACAGATTCTTTTCAGCTTCCCCAGCAGGAACATCGCTCGCAGAAATCTGAATATTGTTACCCTGCAAAATCTCACTTCAAATCTCAGCAGATGTTTGTTCCTCTTTAAACGTTCACTGTCTGCTTCTCACATCATGTTCTACAGATTTATGACTTGCTCTGGATGTTCTCAGTCTGTCAAGCCTGCCTTTATATTTCCAGAGATTTTTTTTTTTAGTCGTTAACAGCGATGGAAAAAATAATGTAGGGTTAACAAAAAGCAATAGTACTTGGCTGCTCTATGGCACTATCAGATGTAAATGTGGACAGGCTAAGGGATTTGCAGATGAGCGCAGGGAGTTTGCATCATGCATGGATGGCTGAGTGGAATAAGGCATGGTGGTGATTTTATGAAAAGCTGACACATGCACATAGGCTTGGAGCACTAGTGGAGGGGAGGGGCTTGAGGAGACACAAAGCCAGTCAAGGGATTCGAAGAGCATGCATGACATAATCAAACTGACAGAAAAGGAAAGTGACTTTCGTCCACACAAAATGCAGACATTAAAGCAGGGGCAGTGTCTGTGGGAGGTCAGAGGAGGACATTGCAGTAGTCAAGGCGAGATGTAAGGAGGACTTGAACAAGAGATCTGGCTCTGGGGTGAAAGGAAACAAACATTCAGACCTTGAACATGTTAAGAAGGGAGAAACACCAGGATTTGGATGCAGCCTGGAGCGGGGGAAGGGGCCAGAAAGGGAGGAGACAAAAGAAATCAGATTACTAGCCTAAAAGATGCGGAGGACGGTGATGGGTTTATAACAATAAAGGAGGTGGGAAGTGGAGAATCCTTGAAAGGGAAAAATGAGAAGCCCAGGTTTGGCCGTGTTCAGTTTAAGGTCCTGACATAACATCCAAGAGTGGGATGTCACGGAGACAAGAAAAGACATGGGATTGGACAGAAGGAGACAGATCAGTGGTGGAGAGAACTTTATGAGTCATCAGCATAGAGATAATTGAAACTATGTAAACAGTTGCAGCTGTCCAGAGACAGAAGTGAAAAGACTAGGGGGCACAGAGATAGAACCTGGGGACACCCTCAGAGTGCAACAGAGAAGAGGAGGAGCCAGCAAAAACAGACACACAAAAGAGTTGGAGGGACAGGAGAACCACGAGAGGACAGTATCTCAAAAGCCTAGTGTGAGCAAGATGTCAAGCAGGAGAGGATAACTGACTTCCTCACAAGCAGCAGAGGCCAAAGAGGATGAGGTTGGAGTAGAGCCCCTGAGATTGGACCAGGAGAAATGAGAGAGAAAAATATGTACATCTGAAATTTGAGTGTAATTCAGAGACTTTCAGCCTGGAAGGGTAAGTAAAGGACGCGCCTGTAACAGTGTATACGGTAATCCCCTGCAATTGGGATCAGTGCAGCCACAAGGTCAGCAACCCCATGTTCGCATAGCAGGCAGCACCCACAGTGCTAAAAACTCCTCTTCCAAAATAGGAAGAAATAAAATGAAGTGCAGGGAGGAGCTAAAAATTACATTTAAAAGATTAACTACAGTTAAAGAATAGGAATCAACCCCTGTAAATGTAGAAGATTCTGAGAGCGCCAATTATTTCCTCTATTAAAAATTATTTTCCTTATAAGTAGTGAGTATTGCAGTCAGGTCATCTCGGTGGCAGATTGCTGTACTGTACTCTATAGGAACGCTGCATATGGTTATTAATATTGGGACATTCTGCCATTGGCTGCATGTGCATGGCTTCCACTGACTACACAGTCAAGAGTCCAATTTGGCCCATTATTTCCATTGCTCTGATACTTGGCAAGGATAGTATGATGGTGTATGCAATGACACACATCACCTTGTGTTTAGCCAGGCTGAAGAGGAACTAAGTTAGAAAGTAAAGATATTTTTGCACTTCCTGGAAACAGACTCACAGGAACAAAACAGACTAAATCAAAACTGTGATGTCGCTTTAAACCTAAAATGTTCCTTTTGGGGTAATCTCTAGTCAGTCATTCTCCCAATTCCCCTCCCCCCCTCTGTTTCACTAGTTATTGACGTGAGTGTGAGAAACTCCCACATTCCCTACACAGAGAGCAAGGTAAAACTAAGTAGGTCAAAAAGCAAATGGATTTATGCCTCTGCGGGTTACATTATTACATTAGAGCTTGTGCAAAATATTGAAAGCCTTTGCAAGACACAGACATCCAAGTGTTTTACTAGGAAGCTTTCCAACTGGACCCTTTCAAATAATCCCTTACCAAGCAGGGTGAAAGCATGTCTGGTTTTCTCAAAATCATCGGCATCATCAACTCCATCAATAGTTGTCTCGCCTCCCAGAGAAGTGTAGAAAAAGTCTTCAGCACATGCTAAGAGAAGAGCAAACACAGAATGAATGCATCAGCAAATGAGAGGCACATAACCTGCTGCTTACATTTCGTTGTACTTACTTTAGAACACTCTCCTTGTAGCCCCCCCCCCCCTGCTGCCCACCTTTGGAGGGCAGATGGTCTCCTTAAAATGAAGCTCTGCTCTAGAAAGCAACAATGTAAAAATAGTCTGTGCACACAATCAGATCTGCTTGTTTTAGCAATAAAAACATTGTGCTTTCAATTCCAGATATCTCCGGTAGTGCCAACTCGACAGAGGAGGAGGAGCTGGATTCTGTTCTTTTTTGTACATCAAGAGAATTGTTCTCGAAGTTCCAAGTAGTTACACCTGTACAAACCCACAGTGGAAGTTACATGTGTCACAGAGGGCTGAATTTTGGTCTGCAGAACATTTCTGCCAGACGGTCATGGAAGGAAAGACCCACTTTGACTCAGACCCCAAAGTTTATGAGTTTGAGTATGTATGTCAGGCAGTCAGGGGGAAAAAAAACGTGTTTTTTAGAGGGAAGGTCCCCGGAGCATGTGCAGCTGCGCACTTCCACTGTGTGCCATGGCTTCCAATCAGTGGACCTACCTTTTGCTGTTAAAGTTCAGGCCCTGGAGATCCTATGTGAGCCTGGTGCTAAGCAAGTGAGAGTAACCAGGAGGTTTGGTGTCTCAAAGTTTTGAGCATTCAGAACAGTTGCCATAACCTTTTACAGGAGCACAGGAACAGCACACACTGAGACTGCAAGCGCCAATATGAAGGAAAGGAGACAGATGTTGGTAAAACCCTGGGGCTCTGGTTTCAGCATAAGCTTGGCCAAGGCGCTCAACTCTCAAGACTGAAGCTGTAACAGAAAGTGAATCGGCAGGTGGCCAAGCAGGGGAAGGACTCTAGCCCTTCAGATGGAAAGCCCAGCACAACACGGTTCAGTGTAAGGAGCATGGTGAGAACCAAGATGCTGACCTTCTGGCTGCTACTGAATGACACGCAGACCCCTACCCAGCAATCTAGAGCAGAACGGTAGAACTATGTTCTGCTTTACAGTATTTCTTGTGACACTTAGCAAGCTGAAATTTCCTGAATTTGCTTTAATCCAGCGGTTCTCAAATTGTGGGTTGGGACCCCAAGTCATGACCCTTTTAATGGGGTCACCAGTGCTGGCTTCGACTTGCTAGGGCCTGATGCCAAAGCTGAAGCCCCACCATCCAGGGCCAAAGCTGAAGCCTGAGGGATTCAGCCCTGGGGCTCAGATTACAGGCCCCCTTCCTGGGACTGAAGCTCTTGGGCTTCAACTTTGGCCCCCCTCCCCCACCTGGGGCAATAGGGCTCAGGCAGGCTCAGGCTTCGGTCCCCCCTCCTGGGGTCATGTATTAATTTTTGTTGTCAGAAGGGGGTCATGGTACAATGAAATTTGAGAACCCCTGCTCTAAGCATTAGGGTACACTATAAAACATTACTGTGTATCATGTTTGGTTTTCTTTAATACTGAAAGTTAATAAACCATTTCACAACTACTGTTCTGTACCATCTATCATTGTTCCATGCTCCCCTTTCTATGTATCCCCCTGAAAACAGTTCCTTCTGCTTACTGGCAGCTTCTGGACAATAGCATCTTTTAGTGTGAAAAACTGCAAAGCTACTTTTGGTCAAAAATTTCCACTGGTGAATTATGAAAAAGCTTAGATGAAGTGTGCTGGTGTCATCTATAAGATAGAGACCTTAATCTTTACTTACCTCCTACAGGTGAATGTGGACATATATCTGTATTTTCATATTTTGCTTATTTATTTTACAGATTGGCAGAAATAGACCCAGACAGGTAAGTGAAGTGATGTATACTTCAATGGAAGGGCGTGAATAAGAACATAAGAACTGCCATGCTGGGTCAGACCAAAGTCTAGCTCAGTATCCTGTCTTCCAGCAGTGGCCAATGCCAGGTGCCCCAGAGGGAATGAACAGAACAGGTTATCATCAAGTGATCCATCCTCTGTTGCCCATTCCCAGCTTCTGGCAAACAGACACTAGGGACACCATCCTGCCCATCTGGGACCTATCCTTCATGAACTTACTATTTCTTTTTTGAGCCCTGTTATAATCTTGGCCTTCACAACAACCTCTGGCAAAGAGTTCCACAGGTTGACTCTGCTTGTGTGAAGAAATACTTCCTCTTGTTTGTTTTAAACCTGCTGCCTATTCATTTCATTTGGTGACCCCTAGTTCTTGTGTTATGAGGAGTAAATAACACTTTATTTATTTTCTTCACACCAGTCACGATGTTATAGACCGCTATCATATCACCTCTTAGTTGTCTCTTTTCCAAGCTGAAAAGTCCCAGTCTTATTAATCTCTCCTCATACTGAAGCTGTTCCATACCCCTAATAATTTTTGTTGCCCTTTTCTGAACCATTTCCAATTCCAATATTATGTATCAGATAGGTCAGTGTCAAAATCCAAATCAACAGCTGTGTGATCTTGGGCAAGCTGTTTAACTTCTCTGAGCCTCAGATTCTTTATCTGTGAAATGGTGGCAATCCTGTTCAGCTGTTTTTGAGACACAACTAAAAGGTGTGTGTAAAGAAGAATCAGTGGACTCCATTCTTGAGGCCAGTCACTGGGAGACGTAGGAACAGAATTTCCTGTTCCCAATCCTGTGCTTGATTTATTAGCCTTTGGGCTTTGTCATCCAACACAGCCGCATTTTTGAATATTCCAAAAATTTGCTGTAGTGCTCCTTGTAGAAAACTTGCAAGGTGTGGTTGTAGGAAGAAGCTAGGAGAGACTCTAAAACTGGCCTTTCTAAAGGTTTTGAGCAGAATTCTTCTCTTCAGTCTGTTTGGCAGATCTAGACGTCGTTGTTTTGCTCTTCCCTACCAACGTGAAACAGTCACCGAGACCAGTGCACGTTTACTGTATGGAAAGCAGGCTACAGCATCAATCCGCCATAGAGATCACAGGAGTGAATTCTGGCCTTTATCTGGAACATTGTCTCATATGGTATTGCCATTAACAATGCTCACTACACCCTACATTTAACTAGCTTTCTTTCATGTTCTGCCAAAAAAGACTAAATTTTAAAGGAAGGAGACTTGAGCTCATCCATTGATAGCCAACTGCCGTGCTTTCATTTGGGAAGAGAGGGGGTGGCCTCTGAGGTCATGGAATCATAGAATATCAGGGTTGGAAGGGACCTCAGGAGGTCATCTAGTCCAACCCCCTGCTCAAAGCAAATCATAAATCATTCAGGGCTTTAGATGTCAAAAGGAGCACCTCAGAGTCAACCCAGAAGTTAACTGGCATCCAAGAGAGGCTGCAGAGCAGCTGCATAACGAGCTCTCTGCATGTTGCACCACATAATCAGTGTGTAGAAGTGTTTTGCCCTTGTACCAGCTTCTGGCTAAGTTCTTATATGGCCCTAGTTGCCATAGTATCTCAGCATCTCTGTAGTGTCTGAACTTCTCAAGATGTTCAATCACATTACTAGTCTTGTCTGGGGAGGACAAAAGTGTGGTTCAGTATGCCAAGGTCCACACTGGAGAGAAAAAGTGGCATTCTTCTTGCTACGTTGAGGGGAGAAATGTGTTTTTGCCCACAGCTGCTTCCTGATTATCCTGGAGCAGCCAAGGGTCTAAAAGGCTCTCTTCCAAGTTGCAGACACATGAAGCAAGCTATGGGCTCCATCCCTCAGTGGAAAAGTGCTGATATAATAATCTATTGTGTTTGCATGACTTTGTGCCAGCTAGTGCACATGTTCTGTTTTTATATTGTATGGTGCTAAATATTCTGGTAGAAAATTAAAACTAAGTAATGAATGAACCCAGTCCTAACTGGCTGACAGAGAAGTCATTCAAGGCTCCTGGATACCATCCCAGACTGCTGGCATTCCCTTTGCATGGAATATGCAGAGATCAATGGAATTAACAAGTCTTTTTAAACAATGCTCCTAAAAATACGTCTGTTCATATCATCTAGCAGCACTGAAGGGTGAAAGAGTGTTTTTCCCCTGGCAAATCAGAGAGGGCTTCTTTACACTGATGAAGTGAGCTGTAGCTCACGAAAGCTCATGCTCAAATAAATTGGTTAGTCTCTAAGGTGCCACAAGTACTCCTTTTCTTTTTGCGAATACAGACTAACACGGCTGTTCCTCTGAAACCTTCTTTACACTGTTATGACTCTGGCTTTCAACTTCAGTGTCTGGAGGGAGAACCCGTAATGGAAATGGCCAGCACAATATAGTGCTATTGGCGAGTGTGTGACTGGAAGGTTAGCCCACAAGGTATTTAACTGGTTTTTAGTTTCTGTTTAAAGCTTTATGAAGAGTGTGTGTGTGTGGTCACCAGCTGTGTTTCTGCCTTGCTACTGTTCCAGTGCTAATTACATCAAGGCATGTTTTAGATCCATAGGGACTGCTCCTAGCCTGGCAGTGAATTCTAAGGCTTTGACCAAAACGTAATTAAAAAAAAAAGTCTCTCTCTAAGTAAAACTTGTCTCTCTTTAGTTTTTCCTCTGTTGCAGCCTTGTCATAGCTCAGATTTTAAAAACCTTCCTTTGAAAATCTTTCTAGCTTGTGGAATGTGTGGTCTGTCACAGGGATACCCCCATACATACACTTTGGGTGTTCGCATGTGAAGTTGAACAGTTAGGGGTACGTTTACACTATAGCAGCACAGCTAGACTGCTGCAGCCACACCGCTGTAGCGTAGACGCTTCCTGTATAGACAAGAGGGTTTTTCCACCAGTGTAGGTCCATCCACCTCAACTAGAAGTGATGGCTAGTTCAATGGAAGGATTCTTCCAAAAGTGTCACTTTTTAACAAGCAGCTTCTATAAGATGTATTTCACTCAGATTCATCATGAGTGACCTCTAATAATCGTTTGTCATTTGTTCCCACTTTACACTTTGAGTAACAGAGATCACAAAAGTGAACCTGATGACATCAGGTCGAGCACAACATAACTTTCCTTACACACCTCCGCAAGGAGCCTCAGTTTTAGCCTGCAGCCACTTAGCTATTGCAACCTTGAGGTTTAATCTGATTGAGATGCACCGCATTGTTGGATGATGGGATGTGGACAAACATGCACTCTATTGACAAGAACAAGCCTTCCAAACTTATTTCCCTTTAAACCTTTTGGGTAAGATGTCTAGTTCTATAGTTGGCACACAGAATCTAACCAATGAGAATCTGTAGGGCTGCATTTATAGTAATAGTGTATATTCTTGTTGCTATTGCAAAGAACAGGCTGTATGTAGCAAGCACCTCAGAGAACCCAATGGGTTGCGGGAGTAGCGTACTTACTTAGAGCTAGGTCTTCAAATTCTGGAAGACTGGCAGAGGCACACAGCTGATAGAAGATATGATAGTTTCGTTCATCTTCTGCCTACAGAACAAAAACATGGAGTTACTTTAGAGCCAATGACTTAAGGACAGTCAACAGTCTTCATTTTTCTGCCACTCACAGCAGCGTCTTCCATACCCCAAGGTTCCTCCCAACCATTGCAACTTCACATTACTACATAGTCAGCATGGCTTCCTAAAGGCAACCCAAGGGTCAGTTTTAAGCAATACAAGTTTCTTTCCTTTCAGGGGCATCTTGCCTTCATCATAGCATTCTTAGGGACAGATTTACTGAGGCATTTAGGTGTCCAAAGATGCAGGTAGGTGCCTAAATCAGGTTCTTTTGCAACTCCTTCTAAGCACCTCTCTGCATTTTTGCGCACCTAAATAACCTTGTAAATGTGGCCCTTAGTCCCTACTAGCTCAACTTACAGAGCAGGCAATCAGGAACCACTACTCTTTCATGTAAAACAACATAAACATATTACCTGTGTGAATGTAAAACAGTTACATTGAATGTGGTAGTGTATATAATTAACACTGAAAAACCAAACAATTTTACTTTCACCTTACTATTAAACCAACACTTTTCGATTTAGAGAGAAAGTGTTTGAAAAGATTTAGTCAGCTCTTCTTAACTCACTGGGCAGCCATCTTTACTTTGGATCACACCCACAGTACAGGAGCACTGCTACCCTGCTTACGATTATGCCTCTTTACCACAGCTACTGTCACAGAACCTGCCAATTATTTGAATTTCTAGGTAAAGATCTATTGTTATGCGGGGGCAGGGGGGAGGGAAGCTGCTGTAAGGATATTGACTAATCTGCAGTTCATGAAGTCAAGTATCAAAGCCTCTCAGAAAAGCTGTGTGTCCAGGGTAGTTACAGCACACATCAAAAGCCTGGAAACTTTAAGGCTGAGCCAAGACTCCACTCTTTTGCAGAAACCTTGATGTTTAAGAATGAAGAGAGCTTGAACTTAGTGCAGGTTTTGTTAACTACAGGTAAAAATATTGATGCTTGGGGATGCTTCAAGATCACAGGTGATATTTAAATGCAAAACATTATTATTATTTGTGAATTGTGCTTTGAGCCTGTCATAAATATAAAGGGAAGGGTAACAACCTTTCTGTATACAATGCTATAGAATCCCTCCTGGCCAGAGGCAAAATCCTTTCACTTGTAAAGGGTTAAGAAGCTAAGGTAACCCCGCTGGCACTTGACTCAAAATGGCCAATGAGGGGACAAGATTCTCTCAAATCTGGATGCGGGGGGGGGGGGGACACGACACACAAAGGGTTTGGTCTGTCTGTGTGATGCTTTTGCCAGGAACAGATCAGGAATGTAAGCCTTACAACTCCTGTAAAGTTAGTAAGTAATCTAGATAGAAAATGCATTAGATTTTCTTTCGTTTAATGGCTTGTAAAATAAGCTGTGCTTGAGGGAATGTATATTCCTGTTTTTGTGTCTTTTTGTAACTTAAGGCTTTGCCTACAGGGATTCTCTAGGTTTTGAATCTGATTACCCTGTAAGGTATTTACCATGATTTTACAGAGGTGATTCTTTTACCTTTTCTTTAATTAAAATTCTTCTTTTAAGAACCTGATTGATATTTCACTGTTCTTAAGATCCAAGGGTTTGGGTCTGTGTTCACCTGTACCAATTGGTGAGGATACTTATCAAGCCCTCCTCAGGAAAGGGGGTGTAGGGCTTGGGGGAAGCCATCTCCAAGTGGTCTCTTTCCCTGTTCTTTGTTTAAAATGCTTGGTGGTGGCAGTATACTATTCAAGGACAAGGCAAAGTTTGTACCTTGGGGAAGTTTTTAACCTAAACTGGTAAGAATAAGCTTAGAGGGTCTTTCATGCAGGTCCCCACATCTGTACCCTAGAGATCAGAGTGGGGAAGGAACCTTGATAGACCCATGAAAACTTGCTTGGCAATTTACAAATGATAGAAGAAGCAAATTCCCTGCCGTAGGCTCCAATTCAACAAAGCACAGAAGCACATACTTAAGTGCTTTGCTGAACCAGATCCAGTCAACTAGCTAAGATACAGAAAGCATAGACTGAACCTAATGATGCACATATTTATATATAAAACAAATGTGTATCTCACATGATCCTGACTACGTCACCACAGACATACATTCACACAGTCTATGGCCTGATTTGGAAAAATACTTAAGCACGCGCCCAAATTTAAGCTGATGAGTAGTTCCATTAAAAAGACTGCTCACATATAGGAAGTTAGGGATGAGTGTGTGTGTGTTTCTACACATACACCCACTGTTTTTGAGAGGTCTTACCGAATAAATCATTTATATAGCGGGATTTGAATTTGAAAAGTGAGGTTGCAGGTAAGGAAAGAAGGAGTTATTAAAATACTATGAAGTGAATTGTTTGAAGAAAATTGTTCCCCAAACTATTTTTTTAAAAATGAACAAAATCTTACCAATAAGTAACTTTTAATTCAGTACCCACCTTTCATTAAAACTCTGATGAGAAACGGGGGACAAGACTGCTCTTTTTGGTGTGCTAATCATAACATTTGCAGATTAGCAAGGTTCTACTATACACCCAACACAAGTCTTGTGACTTTCCGAGGAGCTTTTTTTTTTTTTTTTTTTAACCTTAACTTAGAGTTCTATGGCTTGTACTTTTTAAAATAACTACAAAATTCTAATACATTTATTTCCTAGATTAATATATTTAGGGCCATAATTCTACTTTACCTTTTTTTAGCAACATCTAACAAGAGCCTTAATGCATTGTATTTATCCTGTGATCTCTGTTTCTGCGTTCCAATTCATTTCATTTATTTGATTTATTTGATTTTAAAAAATAATACAAAGAATGATAAATGAGCTCTAGGTACCCTAACAGCTATTACATTTACAATCCAAGTACAAAACAATCATGGTGTTTCACAAGCATATCTACAGTGCAGCTGGGCAACGAGTAAGGCAAGAACGCAACCCCATGCTCTGGGTTTCCCTAAACTTCGGACTGTTAGAATCTGGAACTGGATGACAGAGGATGGATCACTCAATAATTGCCTTGTTCTATTCATTCCCTCTGAAGCATCTGACACCAGCCACTGCCAGAAGACAGGATACTGGGCTAGGTGGACCAGTGATCTGAGCCAGTATGGCCTCTCTCATGTTCTTAATGTTTCAAAAAGCTTTTTTAAAACAGAGCAGTGATACAAAGCTCTGACAACCAAAACCACCATCATATGTCCTCACCCTCTAACCCAGAACAACTGCCAAAATTTGTTAGACTACTCTCCAAAAGCAGGGTCTGCCAAAAGTTTGACTTATAAAAGGGAAGGTTTTAATGTTTCTATATCTACCTTTATGGAAAAAAATACTAGTTCACTAAAAAAAAAAAATTAAGGAGTCCAAAGGAAAATGTTGCATAACTCACCTGGAATACAACTCTTGATTTTTCCAACAGATACGTCCTCATGTTGGCACCAATGATATGGTATCTTTTATCAAAGCCAATCTGAATGTATTTCCCAAAGCGACTACTGTTGTCGTTCCTGGTTGTTTTAGCATTTCCAATTGCCTGTAAGCAACAGAATACAACATTAAGAACAAGGACCCCATTTGTAAGTTTGCATATTATCTCAGGAAGACACATTTTACTCTCCAGAGCCCAGAAATAAATAAACCTATCACATAATTAGTCAAGTGAGAATTGGAGAGAGAGTTCCCAAATGGAGGTAGACAAAGAATTCAAAGTGCAGTAAATTGAGGAAGACAGGAGCTAGATGATCTCTGACATGGCCAAGTTTACTGTGTCAACATTCAGTTTTAGTTTCAAGGAATTTTATTGTGGAAGAGTATTGGAAACTGAACAAACAATGTTATAACATTCTCAAGAATTAGAGAGAGTATGTCACTCACATTCCATGGCCACAACAGTCCTCTGACTTGCCTTTTAAAATCTCCTTAGCCTTCGTGCACCTACATCTAAGGGCATGTCTATACTGGAGCAGTTTGTGTAATTTCCAGCATGGGCAGACATCCCACACTACGTCTAACTGAGCTAGTGCACCAAAAATAGACCTGTAGCTGCTGTGGTGTGAGTGGCAGGACATGCAAGCTGGCCCAAATATAGTCATATCTGAGACCCTAGGTACATATTTGGGTGGCTAGCCCTGCACACTGCTTTCACCGCCATAGCTACACTTCTATTTTCAGTGTGCTAGCTTGACTGCAGCTAGCATGGGTATGTCTATCTGAGCTGGAAATTACACCTCCAGTTCAAGTGTAGATGTACGCTTAGTCTAGTGGTTTTACATGACCACTTCAGTATTCTCAAGGAACTTAAGCTAGGATTTTGAGAGTAGCCTAAGAGAGTTAAGTACCTAACTACCATTGATTTTCACGGATCAAAGAGTCAGCATTAGGAATGCAGGAAGAGAGGCTATTTCAAATAAAGCACAAACCTGGTTAGCTAAAGACTCAGAGGATAAAGGAAGCTTTTAGATAAATGGGGCGTCCGGAGAAAGGGGAGCTACCCACCTGCAAGAAGGCTGCCCAGTACATCCCCATCCTTAGTAGGAAGTGAAAAAAAGGTCAAACTACTTTTCATATCAGCCACACTGGGAGATCCTGGGTTATGTACAATTCCCAGGATACACACATAACCAGAACTGTGCTTAACCAGTGTATTACTGTTAAAGGTTATATATAAATGCCTGCCAACAGGGCTTTATGGTTAAAAGTGGCTATGGAATAATTATAGTAATATATTTTCCTGCTTAATTTAAAGAATGAAATGTCTCTCTGGCAATAGCATTTCTAATTTCATTCTGAATGATGCACATTGTTTTTCCTATTTGTTTCAGATCCACCGTTTTTCCTATTTGTTTCAGATCCACCATAGAGATCAGCAGCAGAGATTTGCAGGGTAGAAAAGCTAAACTTGCAATTTTCTTCTGTTGATTTCAGGGGGAGGCTCATAGGTTCCCATCCCACTTCTGGGGCCAGATTACAATCCCAGATGCATGTCAAAGACCACTACGTATCATGTAAAACTACCCTGCTGTGACTGGCCAATATCTGTAGTCGGGCTGTTGATTAACTGCAGTTAACTTATGCGATTAACTCAAAAAAACGAATCGCAGTTTTAATCACACCATTAAACAATAGAATACCAATTGAAATGTATTAAATATTTTTGATGTTTTTCTACTTTTTCAAATATATTGATTTCAATTACAATACAGAATACAAAGCGTACAGTGCTCACTTTATATTATCATTTTTGATTAGAAGTATTTGCACTGTAAAAATGACAAACAAAAGATAGTACGAGATGAATTGAAAAATACAAGTACTGTAGTGCAATCTCTATCGTGAACGTGCAATTTACAAATGTAGGAATTTTTTTACATAACTGCACTCAAAAACAAAACAATACAAAAACTTTAGCACCTAAAAGTCCACTCAGTCCTACTTCTTGTTCAGCCAATCACTAAGACAAACAAATTTGTTTACATTTGCAGGAGATAATGCTGCCCACTTCTTATTTACAATGTCACCTGAAAGTGAGAACAGGCATTCGCATGACACTTTTGTAGCAGGCATTGCAAGGTATTTGTGTGCCAGATATGCTAAACATTCATATGCCCCTTCATGCTTCAGCCACCATTCCAGAGGACATGCTTCCATGCTGATGACACTCATTAAAAAAATAATGCGTTAATTAAATTTGTGACTGAACTCCTTGGGGGAGAATTGTAAGTCTCCTGCTCTGTTTTACCTGCATTCTGCCATATATTTCACGTTATAGCAGTCTCGGATGATGACCCAGCACATGTTCATTTTAAGAATACTTTCACAGCAGATTTCACAAAACGCAAAAAAGGTACCAATGTGAAATTTCTAAACATAGCTACAGCACTTGACCCAAGTTTTCAGAATCTGGAGTGCCTTCCAAAATCTGAGGGGGATGAAGTAGGGAGCATGCTTTCAGAAGTCTTAAAAGAGCAACACTCCAGTGCGGAAACTACAGAACCTGAACCACCAAACAAGAAAATCAACCTTCTGCAGGTGGCATCTGACTTAGATGATGGAAATGAACACATGCATCAGTATGCTCTGCTTCGGATCATTACCTAGCAGAACCCATTAGTATGGACACATGTCCCCTAGAATGGTTGTTGAAGCATGAAGGAACAGATGAATCTTTGGTGCACCTAGCAGGTAAATATCTTGCAGTACCGGCTACAACTGTGCCATGTGAATGCCTGTTCTCACTTTCAGGTGATATTGTAAATAAGAAGCGGACAGCATTATCTCCCATAAAGAAACTTGTTTGAGTAATTGGCTGAATGAGAAGTAGGACTGAGTAGTCTTGTAGGTTCTAAAGTTTTACATTGTTTTGTTTTTGAGTGCAATTATTTTTTGTAGATAATTCTACATTTGTAAATTCAACTTTCATGATAAAGAGACTGCACTACAGTATTTGTATTAGGTGAATTAAAAAATACTATTTCTTTTGTTTTTTACAATGTAAATATTCGTAATAAAAATAAACATAGTGAGTACTGTACACTCTCTATTCTGTGTTATAATTGAAGTCAATGTTTGAAAATATAGAACATCCACAAATATTTAAATAAATGGTACTCTATTACTGTTTAACAGTGCGATTAATCACGATTGTTTTTAAATCGCTTGACAGCCATAATTTGCAGTCAGAATCTAGCTCACAGATCAGAGTGAGCATTTATAACATCTGACAGAAGGAAATTCAGACTGCACAAGCACAAGAGTGAATTGTGTTTACAAGTCAGATAAGAAGCCTGAAGCATCTCCTAGAGAAAGATACACTAAAAAAAGCTTTATTTGTCTGTGCATACCAGAAAACTCAACGAATCAATGTGCTGAACGCATCATGACTGTCAATTCACCTGCACATTTGAACCACTGGGAACAGTATTTGGGACATTCAGCTCCAAAACAGCAGGTGACCACTATCAGCTATATTAATACTAAGGCTTCTATGCTTATATCCCTCTTTGGTTCAGCCACTGGGGGTCAACCGGTTTATATATATTTGAGCAGGTCTGATATTCCATGCAATAGGGTGTATGTGGCATCATCCAGATTTCCACACCAATTAAGAGTTTGTCTTTATGCATAAGGAATCCAACAGTCTGGTGTAAATCTCCGAGTGCACACATTTTGCCAACATCATGGCTGTCAGACAGATCTTGCAGGAAAGAATTCAAGGGCAGCACTTAATGTTCACATTAGTTTGCTATAACTGCAATACCTTTCCCCCCATACTTCAGTTAATGTTAGCGGTACTATCATATCACACAAAGGTTACAGGGGAAAAACACAATACTACTTAGTACATCTTTAAAGCACTCTACAATCAATAACCCAGATCAACACATCTGTCAGATGGACAAATATTATAAACCTTATTTTACAGGAGAGGAAATAGAGGCATTGAGAAAATAAGTGAACACATTGCAACACATTGAGTCAGTCAGTATCAATGACAAGGTTGGAAGCTGGGATTCCTACTTCTTGCTCCTGTACTCAAACCACAGGTCTCCTCCCCCTACAGTAAAAATAGCACATTTTTTATTAAGTTTGGCCACTCGCTCATGTGCTCAACTTCACTTTGACTTAAAAAGGACTAAGCGGATGAAGAATAAGGCCTCTATCAAATTTAGTGCTTCTTTTCTTGGGAAGCTGTTTGCTGAGACTGAAAACTTCTATTGAAGATTGCATCATTTGAGCTAATAGGAAGGAGAGAGCCTAGCATTCTGAAAGTCCTTGTGAAAATCATCAGATGATATGAAATTTATGCAATGATTTCTATCTGCTCATATTTCACATTACAGGAATACCTTAACATTGAACCTTTGTGACTGGAGAAACTGCTGTTTTGATGCCCAAAGAAAGGTGGTACATATGTTCTACAGTCCGAGCGAGCCTGGTGGGCTAGCAGCAGCCCCAGCACCCAACGATACACAGGATCTGTGCTGGACGCTCGCTTCATCACAAAGTCAAGGAAATTAGAAATTCAGAAGATTCACCACACTGGACATGTATTCCATTGGGGACCAGTACACACACACTCCTCAAACTTCTGCATTATCCCTAGCAACTGGCCATTCTGGTGCGACGCCACCTTGGCAGGACATGGATGCTGCAGACCACAAGCTTTTTGCACCAAGACCAGAGGAGCGGGGTTGCTGGGGGTGTTTTTCCATGATAAACAACCTGGGGCAGCTTCTAAAGGAACTTCACAACAACACCTGACTGTATAGGAAGCATTAGGGCTGGGGTGCTACTACTGTACCTTAGGGTTCCCGAGTGATCAGAGTGGCTCTGCAGATGCTGCTCTGCTTGGGGAGGAGGTTGGAAAAAGAATTATTCTCCCCTTCTCCCTCCCCCTGCACATCTCCACCGCACCAGCTAAGCTCCTTGCCCTGGGTGCTCAGCTGAGGATTTGACTCTTCACATCTGATCTATGACAAAGGGTTTATTAATTCCATCCTCTCATCAAAGCCCTTCTAAATTAAAAATCTGTCA